GGCGGCCCGGGAAAGGGGCTCGGGGCCGCCCCTCGCCTCACGGCGCCTGGCTGGCACCTGCAGCCGGGTGGGGCTCGGCCCCCTCGCCTCGGACACGGCCTCCAGCTGCGGCAGAGCCGGCTTAGGTTGGGCAGTAAGGAGTCCTGCACACACAGGGTGGTTTGGCGTTGGAATGGCTGCCCAGGTGGAGTCACTGCCCCCGGAGGAGTTTCAGGGAAGAGTGGAGGTGGCACTCAGGGCCTGACTGACCCGGTGCTCGGTCACAGGCGGGACTCGATGATCACAGAGGACTTTTCCAGCCTGATCGGTTCTGTGTTTCTGTTAGGTATTTCTGATTTGTGGAGTGTACCCTGAGTTAAAGCGTCTCCACCCGTGGCTTTGCACCCCAGGTTCCCGGTCACATTCAGGTCTGGGGAGGTGCCGGGGCCCTGGGAAGCCCGTGAGTTCCAGAGGCCAGGCATTGCTCCTCAGCTGGGCTGTGATTTCTGTCTTGGCCAGCTATTTTCCCTGTTTTTTTCCTGCAGACACTTCCCAGCAGTGCTTGGGCTTCCCTGTGCACTGTGGTGACACCCAGAAACCCCGGTGACCCTGCCTGCCATAAATACCCCCCAGCCCCCTGCAGGCAGATCACCACCCTGGTTTTTACTTTCTCTTTGGTTTTTAAACCAGCTCTGTATGGCCTCGCGATACGTGCTTGTGTATGAAATCTTGTGTAACGCATCACTGAATCCTCACACCCGCACGGAGTCAAGCTGCAGGCCAGTCAAACAGACCAGTGCCCTGTTGCCGTGAGGAGAGGGGTGTGGGGAATTCAGGGTGCTGCTGAATTCCAGTCTCAAGAGGCAGATGGGTGCAGCCTTGCCTGGGATGGCCAGGGTGGTCCTCATCCCTCCTGCCTGAAGCTCCCTGTAAGTTCTCTGGGATTAACCAGGTGACCACCAGGATGTGTCCATTTGGGGGTGGGATGGCTCACCTCTGCCTCTGCCTGTTCTTTGCCTTTAAAAAAAACCAAAAATGCACAGACCCTGTGAATTTTACATCCCAATCCACTGGGAGCATCCCTTTTCATTTTGTACCACCAGACAGTACAGGGCTCACTGCATGCTGCCTTCTTGACATCAGGGAAGAGGCTCCTCTTAATGCCCTGGATCCACCAGGAAAAAAGTCCTGGATTCACTCCAGAACTTCAGCAAAATCCTGATCCTTTTCTCTAAGCATTGATGGCAGTTTGCTGTTATCTTAAATGCAAGGTCAGCCCCACTCCTGTCCTTCCACTGCTAATTAAAATGCTTCAATTTAAACCTGTTGCTCTCTTCCTACACTCAGCTCTGCTGTGATGCCACATCCAATACCTGCAAGCCAAACACAAACCAGGTAATCACTGGACAAAAGCTGAGCCAACTTTTGTTCTTTGAAAGGATAATTATAGGCATGACTGTCAGGGTAATAAGCAGAGATAACTTTTTATCTGCCAGCAATAAAACTAAATTCCAGTTACCTGTCTCGCTGCATTGGAACCAGGAGATAACACTCCCTCCTTCCCAGCATTTTATGGAAGGAAGGGAACAGTCAATACTGAGCACTGGTGGTGTCAGTCACTGTCACTGAGGAGGTAACCAGACCCAATCTGTTCAAAACCAGCAAAGTTTGGTAAAGCTCTTGATCTGGGTTAAACTCAGGAGAGGTTTATCTGACAGGACACAGGCAAGCTGCTCCTGCAGCTCCTGGTGGCACTGCCGGGGATGCACAGGGAGCCCATCCACCTGTACCAACATTTCGTGCCGGGGATGCACAGGGAGCCCATCCACCAACATTTCAGGTTAAGTGGACACAGAAGCTGCAAAGAGAGGTCTAAATGCCCCAAATGGAAAAGAACCTTTTGCTCCCCCAGTGCCTGATGTCACCGTCCCAGCCAGGGGGTTCAGCATCTTCCAGGAACCCGGGGCTGCATCACAAAGGAACAGCGGGACAGAGGCACCAAACCCAAGCCACTGCCTGGTTTTGTGCCTCATGTATCAACTGCCTCGTAAATATGCCTCGTAAATAAAATATATAAATACTGTAGTAGTGATTTCTTTTGGTCTCATGGACTGAGAAGCTTACACCAGTGCAAGATGCTGCCAAAAGTACTGGTCTTGTCTGCTGCCTTAGTCCAGCCCTTCTCCCATCCCAGGTTTGGCTCAGCACTGGCAGTTTTTGGCTAGGACAGTTGGCTTTTGGATGGGCTCATTCCAGGGGGGTAGTGACAAGGGGAGGTGGAAAAGCCCTTCTGAAGACCCAGCATCACCTTTTCACCTCTCTCATTTATTTCCTCCTTCGCTCTCCTTACTAAGTTTCCCACTGAGGACATTTATTTTCCCTCTCCTTTGTTTTTCATCCACTTCATTTATTGCCAGTGAACTGATTTGTTTGAGCTGAGAAGGGTCAACAGATAAAGGAAATCTGTGTGTTTATGGGGAAAAGACAGTGCAGATGCCAAGAGAATATGGCTGGGAGTCAACTGGAAAGCCAAGGTGTGAACATTTTAATTTACTGACTAGGGAAGAATAGAAAAATCTTTGTTGTTGTTGTTCAAGTAAGATAAATGGTAACACAGCTGCTTTATGGCCATTTCTTTCTTAATTATATATATTTAATAGTAATATAAACTATAAATAGAGATGTATGTATAATTTACATATTATATCAATACATAATAATATATAATATTGCAACATGTATATAATAATAAATGAATATGTAGTGATATGCATATGTGCATATGTGATTTCTATATCTTATGTGTATTATATACATAGGATATTTTTCTGTATTATATAAATATATATTTATGACTTTATCTACAGTATAAATTCAGGAATATATATAATATACATATAATTCCAGGTGCATCCAGGCATCCAGCAAAGTAGACATGATGCACACACCGATCCCCGAGGATGTGTGTGTGTATATAATATAAATCTTTAATACTTAAAGATTTATATATATTTTATCTATATACATTTATATTATGGATATATGTATTTACACAGTCTATAAAACCTGTATAAGATATATAGTTACGTATTTTTCTTTAATTTTTTTCTTTTTTAAATGTGGATTTTGGCCGGAAAGGGCAGTGAGTGACTGGCAGCAGTAAAAGGCCACCTCTGGGCCCCCTTGGGTGGGGCGCGGTTGCACCTGAGCTCTTCCGGCTCCTGTTTGTCCAGGAGTGCAGCAGCTGCCCGGCACATTCCCGGTTGCTCCGGAGCTTTGTTTCCTGACCAACACCCATTTGCAGCATTTCCCAAACAAGCGGAGGCTCATCACCATCGCTCCCACTCCCTCTTCCCCTTCCCATTATCCCTGCGGGCTGGGGAGCAGCCGAGTCCGAACAATCCGTGCTCGGGCATTGGCCGGGCAGGACATGAAGCATTAACGAGTTTAATAGCACCAAACAGATAAAAGGTTTCAAAGGGCATCATTAAAAAATATCCCTGTGGCACCGGTCTGTGATACCCCAGGGCTTCAACATGAGGTGCAGAAACCTATGACTGCCTTCTTCTGAAATCCTTCCCAATTGTTTAAAAAATTATAAAAATCCACATTTCATTTCATTTTAGTTCAGTTTAGTTTAAGAAACAGGGTTCTCCCTGCCCATGTTGTGCTCATACAGCCATTGTTCAACTCCACATGGTTCAATGCTGGAACAAAATAAAATATTAAATTAAATTAAAATAAGCAAATATTTTTAACTCTATGTATTTCTCTCAGTCCCTTTTCCATGTTTAAAGCAAGGACACAGAGCACACCTTTGGCGCAACAGCTGAAAGCCACTGAATCACAAAAGCCTGGTTGCACCAAAAAATCTCCTGTTAACAACCTCAGCAGGAACTGTCTACAGGTTTTTGGTGCTCCCCCTTGGAGCAGCAGCGTTCTTGAATAGTAACTTCTCCAGAGAGGAACAGAACAGAGGCTGCAAGGGCAGGGTCTCCTGGTTTGGTGGGAGTTCGGTGGTGCTGGGAATGGCTGGAGCTGCTCAGGCCTCACAAAGGAATGGGGATTATTTTGCCCACAGATAGGCTGGACAAAAGGTCTGGAATAATTCAAGGTCTATTTTTACCTCCCTTCTTGCAGGAATTTTGTGGTGGCTGGCGCCTGGTGGCACGCAAGCACGCAAACCACGCTGAGGGGCTGGGATGGGGGTGTAGGGAACAACACAGCCCCCTCTGGTCTGAGCTGCTGGGGGGAAGACAGCCAGAGGGGAAGACAGGGTTCCTATGGATCCTGTCCTGCCAGCTGCTTCTCTGCATGCTGGAAGTCTTCCTACTGGTTTTTCACAGAAAACAAAACCCTCCTGACAAGCCCTTATGACGAACGACAGATGAGTCTTGTCCTTATCGCCACCCGGTTGTCACCCCTTCACATTTGCCCCTGGACCTATTCCCACCGCTATAATTAACAGCAAATCAGGTGTCAGCTTGCTCTGTTGGACACAGCCGTGGAAATTCTTGGCACGGTGCTCTTCCTTTCGGGGCTGGAAGCCAAGTGCTGGAGACATGGGAGAAAAAATCAGCTCATTACGCCTGCAGCGGGGCGAGAGCCTTCCCCTTCCTCCCCTGCGCGCCCAGGGCTGGAATCAGGACCTAGTTCAGACCCTGTGACCACGACTGGGCTTCTGTGTGCCCACTCAGCAATCCCAGGTTTGCACCCATGGTAAGGCAGGTTCCCTGCAGCCAGGAGCATGGTGGTGGACCTTGGGATGCTGGTGCTGAGGGGGTCTGCCAGGGATGGGCTCAGCCACTGGATGATAAGCCTCCCTCGCTGCCCCACTGAGGCTGACTGGGCTGGGTGACATCAAAGCTTCCTAGCCCAGAGGATTAGGGACTAACACTGCTGGGGGCCCCTCCTGTGGGTTTGGTGAAACATCTCACTAGGATTTTGGTGCCTGCCTGGAAGCTGGAGTCAAAGGGAGAGAGATAGTTTCCAGGTCACTCCACCTGGCCAAGCAGAGCATGAAGAGGTGTTTGACCGGCCAGTAATCAGGTCTTAAATGTTGGACATGCAGAAAGAAAGGACATGCACTGGGGCATGGTGAACCTGGCTATGAAAAACACCAAACAGGTGAGTTAAGAGCAAGACTAAAGGAATTACTGTAATTTTTCAGGTTTCTCTACCAATAGACCATGGGGTTTTCCTAATGAGTCACAGATCTGCAGAAAAGCAGAGGCCACGAAGGAGCTCTGGAGCTGGGACCTCTGGAGGCCCCTCCTCCAACTCCTGCTGGATCAGGTTGCTCAGGACCAAGGTTTTCATATCCCACGACAGATATTCCACAGTCTTGTTGGGCTCCATTGTTGGATCACTGTCATGCAAAAGACATTTTTTCCTGGTATCCAACTGACATTTCTCTTCTTCCACCTTGTGCCCACTGCCCCTTGAATAACCTCTGAGAAGAGCCTGCCTCCAACCCTGTCTCTGCTCTGGCATTTGCCTTTACTGGGCTTGCTGAGGCTCCTGATGGACCCTTTCTAGGGCTGAAATTTCTGGTTGTTCTCTCTGGATAGCTCCTGTTCTTGATCATGTGGGAGAAATTCAAACTACTGACAAAGTCTCAGATTATGAAAACAGGGAATATCTTCAAGCAGTTAAGAGACACATGCCTAAATGCACTAGTTTATACTTCATCTGACAAGATGCAGAGAATTCTAGTTTTAATTTTGAAGTTTAATAGTAAGTTTTAAAACAAGATTAATTTAAGGTAACATTAGAATCTGGATGAGAAGGGAAATATGTAATATTCTCTTGGAACTGAGCAGCAGCAGAGGCTTAAGGTGGGAGAGAAGGGTTAACCCTTAGTTATGAGGTGATTTAACCACAAACCAGTACAGCAAATTTATCCATACTAAAAATGTCTGTCTCCTATCCCCATGTATCACAAAAAATTATTTGGCTGCATACTTACTAAACAACTACCTCTTTATCTACTTCCTCCCTCTGCAATTCTGTATTAACCATGTGCTATCAAATACAAAGAGAAAAAAAAAAGAATGAAACAAAATCTAAGCTTCTTTCTAACTGCTACTGAGTTTATTAACACACACACATGAATCCCTGAGGCAAACAAGGAGCAGAAATGCACAGGAAAGACCTACTGGCATCATTCAATGCTCTGTTTGTTCAGCAGCCCTTCCCTCCCATGTGCTGGGATCATGCCCAGCCTTCTGCAGCAGCCCCAGCTTTGCAAAAATTCTCTTCCCAGCAATGTCCCCTCCAGAGAGATGAATTTTTTTTTTCTCTCTATTCACCACATTTCTGAATAATTTCTCTTGAACAGTTATCCACCAGTTGGTTTCTGAGGGAAAATGAAACCTGTGCTCACAAGCCCACGTGCAACAGCAAAACAGTTTGTCCCAGAGAGGGAATGGTGCTCTTCAGCCAACTCCTAGTCCTGCAACACTGCAAAACCAAGCAGAAGACCAACCCCAGTGTGTCCATATGATCCTTTTCTCCCTTAAAATGCATCAAATAAATTAATTTCTGCTTTATTTCTTGCAATGGTTGTGCCCCTTACTGGCAGATCACCAGCTTCACATGCAGGATTATATGCACCACTGCCAGAGTAAGGAACAAAACATCACCTGTTTTCAAGCATACAAAAACCTCTCAAGACCACCAGATATTTTCTGGGCCCATGGTTCAGCTGGCAGAAGCCTGTCCCTTGATGGTGGTGCTGCCAAGCACCCTGAGGGTGGAGCAGCCCAAAGGGCCAGTGCTGACCTTCTGGTTTTCCCCTGCCCCACATCCTCAGTGCTGCTGCCGAGGGAGCCAGCAGGAACACATGGGACTCACTGCTTTGCTCTGTGTTAGTGGGCTGCAGGCTGGGGCGGCAGGATTGGGAAGATCCAAAGGAAAGCCACGACTGAAGCTGCTGCATCCCAAAACTCTATCAGTGACATGGAGGCTTCCCAACAGCCGAGTGCCTCTCCACAGCTGCTTCTCCCAGACACAACTGGTGGTGTGAGAGCTGCCTTCCTGAGGTCACACTGCAGTGATTTCATGGAGCAGGGATGAGGAGTCCTTGTGGGATTTGGCAGGCTCTTGCTGCACAAAATTCAGGATGGCCTCAAGCCTGGTGCCGTGGCTCCATGGGGCTGTCCTGCCACTGGGACAAAACTGCAAAGAACATGTGGTCATGTTGAAGCCCCCTTCAGGTCCCTTCAGGTGCTCATATTTTGGGAGATTTAGGAGGAAGGAAGGGAGTGCCAGCTGCTAACCCATTTCAAATCATAGAGTTGTCATCAATGACTTGTTGCCTTCATTTTGGTTTAGTTTTAGAACTGCTCATTTTGGGAGCATTCTCTGAAAATACAGTTTATAATAAAAAGGAAAACATTATGTATTTATTGTCACAAATTGACATGTTTTTCAACTTTCCCATGTTCTAGCTAAGTCATCCACTGCCAGACAAGCTCCTTGGAGCCCCTTGGAAATGTTCTCAAGGAATTTTGTGGTAGGACAGTGACTCCGTACAAAACCTGCCCTGCTTTTTTGCCCCTTCTCGAATGGAAACAAGTGGATTTTATCCCTTTAGTTCTTGCTTGCTCCACATTGGTCTTCCCAGCCCCATCTCTGTGAAACAACCTTTTTCACAGTTTCTCCCACATAGCAAATCCTTTTATTTAAGGCCACATTTGCTTCCCTTCCTTAGTTAGAGAGAGACAAAAGACTTCAGCTGGAACCCCCGCTAAAGTGATTTTTTCATGCTACTAAATAATCATGGAGAAGCCAGATGAAGCATCAAAAAAAATTTATTTCCAATGTCCACACCACTGCACATCAGTGTTCCTGCCCACTGAGGGGGTGGTTTGGAACTTCAAGGTACCTTCCAATGCCAACCATTCTAGGATTCCATGATATTGCCACCATAATCCCTTTTTGATGGCAAAGTCAGAATTTCAGATGCTTTTGGATGACCTCACAGCTGTTCAGGCTTTGCTGGTGGCAGCACAAATCCTCTCGGAGCACTGTCAGCTGCCATCCTTTCCAACCAAGCTCGGGGTGGAGGGCGTTGAAGTTTGCTCCTAATACTGTTCTTTGGATGTTGGATGATAAATCTATCTGTTAACTGTGAAATATGTTTAATGTTTTATCCATTTCCAAGGACATGCTTTTTGAAAGTGCAGCCCATGCAGTGAGACTGTGCTTTGAGTCCAGCCATGAAGGATGAAACATCACAGATATAAAGCCAGACCCTTCTGTCCTGGGTACATTTTCATAGAGGAGGTGTCCTAACATTTTCAACCCTGATGAAGTTTCCACTGGAGTTGGTGTACAATGAGGCCCAAAAATCCTTGCCCAAAACAACCCTTGTCAAGGGAAGCACAGTGAGTGATTCCTAAGGATCATTGCTCAGCACCTCAGAAATAGAGGTCAGGATAGCAAACCAGGTCTCTGGATGACAAGATGAGCCAGTGAGGAGCCTGAGCAAGCCGCCTCATTCCAGCAGCAGACACAGCCACAGCCAGGGAGGAACAGGAGACCTGGGGTGCCTCCACTGCCTTGGGCTATGCTTAATGCCAGCAGCATATGTGCCATGAGCTCCAAGAGCTGCATTTTGCCCCAACAACAACTCTTGAAGGCCAACAGCATTTCCCATTCTGCAAATGGGTCCTGATCAAATTCCTCCAAAAATATCTAATGTCTCAATGACCTTAGGGACTCAGTGATCTTTTCCAATCTGTGATTGTGTGATTCTGTATGAAGGTGGCTGCTTCAAAGTCAATCTTTTCTCCACAGCTAAACCACACCTGGCCTGTTCAAGAGCACTTTCCCCATTTTTTTTTGCCCTGGTTTTGTTAAGCTCTGGGGTGAAACACAAGCGAATTTGATCTTCTGCTACATGTCTTTGCTGGAGAAATCCAGAAGCAGCCAGAAATGTTTTACAAGCTTATCAAAGGCAGTAAAACTTCTCTGCTTGAGTGAGGAGGCTTTCCCGGGAGTTCGGCTGTGCTGATGGGGAGCTGGCTGGGCAGCACAGGCAGGCTCCCGGGCTTTATCCATAGCCGTGGGAAGCGCCCAGCCCGGGCTGCGCGGGGATGGCGGGGAGCCGGCGGGACCGGTGGGCTCCCGCTCCCTACAAACGCCGCCGAGGAGCCAAACCCTGCAGCTTCCCGCAGAAAACTTTGGGGAAGGATTTGTTAGGATGGGCACGCCGCGGGAGCTGCAGCGTTGCCAGCTGGAAGGCTCAAATGAGGCAAGCAGCGAGATGATTTTCTGTGGTGGCCAGGCTGCCGGGGCACGTCCCGGTGTGTGAGGGGACGGTGCTGCTGGCTTTGTCAGCCCCGTGGATGTGACCCAGTGCTGGGCCAGGCAGCGGCTGGAAATGCTCTGCATGTATATGTGCATACAGCTAGATGTGTAATAAAGACCAAGGTCACCCGAGCTTTGGCACCTCCCATCCACCACACTGGGCTTTGAGACAGGGCTTGTCATTCTGCCCCTTGGGGAAGTTTGGGGCTGAGAAAAAAGTTTAAAATTTATCTGTGGTGGCCAGGCTGCCGGGGCACGTCCCGGTGTGTGAGGGGACGGGGCTGCTGGCTTTGTCAGCCCCGTGGGTCTGACCCACTGCTGGGCCAGGCAGCGGCTGGAAATGCTCTGCATGTATATGTGCATACAGCTAGATGTGTAATAAAGACCAAGGTCACCCGAGCTTTGGCACCTCCCATCCACCACACTGGGCTTTGAGACAGGGCTTGTCATTGTGCCCCTTGGGGAAGTTTGGGGCTGAGAAGAAAGTTCAAAACAATAAAAAAAAAATTTTTTTTTTTTTTTTTTTTTTCTCCTTTTTTTTTTTTTTTTTCCATGCAAAGGGAAATAGGCTGAAAAAATCAAGCTCAGAAAGTCAAATGGCCGTGCAAGAGGTTAAGCTGGCAGGTACTACATCTCCAGGGGATGTGGCATTTCTGCTTGGAGCTGTTCCTGCTGAGCCTGGAGCTGAGGGGCTGGTCCCCAGCTCGTGGCAGCTCTGCCCAGCCCAGCACAGATGCCAGCTGTCCTCCTTGCCCTCTGTCCCAGCGTCAGTGCTGAGGTGGCATGACCAGCAGCTGCATGGCATGACCAAACCCTGCCTCCAGCTGCAGGGCCACCACCCTCCCTCGTCACAGCCCCCTCTCCCTGCCCCCAGGTGGCTCCAGCCCCCCGGGAATGCAGTGGGGTGCTGCTGTCCCCCAGCATGCTGGAATCCACCTGCCAGACCCTTTGGAGAGCTCATCCCTGAGGGAGAGAAGTCCCAAAAGCTGGCATGGCAAAGCAAGAGCTGGTTAAGGCAGCCTGCAGGGCTGTGGGAGCACCACCCCTGCCCCTGCTTGCCCAGGGTCCCTCTTTCAGGGGCCTGCCATGAGGAATGCAGTAATCACAGCCAGATTTATGGCAGAAGGGGGCTGCAATTCCCACCACTCCCCAGAAGTCCTGCATGGCCCTGCATGCTCCACATGTAGGCCCAAAGCTGCAATGTCTGCGCTGCAGGGCTGGGCACAGCAGCACCCTTGCTGCCACAGACAATTTTTTACCTGCCCAGCAGCAGAGAACCTCACAACAGGCATTGAAATCCTGAATTCTCGAGTGAATGACACCTCCAGGATCGGGCTGCAGCTTCCTGGGTCTCCCCTACCTTGTGCTGGTTGCAGCCCCGTGGGACAGTGGATTTCATCTGGCTGTCTGTGAAGTGGGGACACAAAGCCACTGAGCTGGAAACACGACAGCTTGTCAGGAAATAAGCACAGGACTTTTTTCCGGAGATGGAAGTTTGATGAGATCAGCTCACGAATTCATGTGAAGGCACAGAGCAACTTCTGCATTTTTTAGAGTCCTGGAAGATTAGAAGCTCCCATAAACTTTAATGAGATACTTCTGCAAAACCATTAGTAGAAGCTGTTGAAAAGCAAATTATCGCCATTTATGGGGACCCAAGAAACTCCAGCAGCTATTCACTCAACGAGAGCCGGCAAAGCAGCTTTCCTTTCAGATTTCATAGTCCCTTTTGTCAAGAACTTCCTCCATTCTCTTGTCAGGCTTTAATTAAATTTGTGCAGAATGGGCTCATTTCTTCTCCCAATCCCCTGCTCCATGGACCAGCCTGGAGCTGGATCCAGCCAGGCATGTCACCCACTGTGCTCCAGGTGCCACAATTCCCTGGGGAAAACCATGGTCCTGAACAAGCCCAGGCCTCACCTGATGGATCTGAAATGTTGATGTAACCGGTGGCCTCCAGGAAGCTCAAATGATGGACAATTGTATCTTTTAAAGCTAATTTGGAGGGACACCTGATCTGAGCAGAAGAGAGGTGGATATGGCTTTTGAACATATCAAATGGCTTTTAATGCCTTTAATGAAACCTGGGGAGAAGGTAAATTTCTTGGCTGCTCAACTCTCCTTTTAAAAAAAGACACACTATATCTCAGCCTTTCCCAGATAAGAGAGCAACTCCAGCATGTCACCCTTCACCTTCAAGAATTGTCTGCAGGGCTGAGTCATTAATGCAGCTAATTAGAGACTTCAAGCTGATTATGAGAATTGCAGTAAGTGGAGTTACAAAATCCCTGGGCCTGATACTCCTTAATACAAAAGCCACTTTACACTGACCCAGCCTTAAAATACCATGGGAGGATGTAAAATGCTCTTAAAGCAAATGGGATCTCCATATGCCTTTGGAGGGACTGGCACACATCACAGACCACCAGCAGACCAGGCTGATGGGGCTCTCAAAGGCCCCATCTGCCCCCAGGTGAAATGAAAGCATCTTTCTGGTCAAAGAGAGTCAGGTCTTTCACAATAAATAAAAACAAAATATAGTCAGGCAACTACCTGAAGAGCTGACAGATATTGATTCAATAAAAGCAGAATAAAAATGTTGCTAAGTCCATTTGCAGGTGTCTCCAGGGGTGTATTAACCCTCACAAGCCAGTAAAACTCCCCTCAGTGTCGACTCTGACAAACTTCCATTGCTGAACACTCCCTAAACTTCAGATGTATTTTGAACTGGATACAAACCTGAAAAGAAGAGCTCAACTTTTCTGTATAAGTAGTACTAAGAAAGAAAAGGCTCTTTCTATATTCTTTTCAAATAACTCAAAGCAATAGATTGTCCACAGAACAACATTTGAAACCAAAGTGCCAGGGATGTACCTGTGGTTTAGAAGTGACCATTTGGGCACAAGGTGACAGTGCTTGGCCTTTTAAGAAGAAAGAACCCTCTTAAAACAGAGAGGATCCCATCAGCCCCAGCAGCCCTTCCTCATGCCTCGGGATCTCCCAGAAGCTGGCAGTGGTGTGTCCCAGGGCAGAGGACTGCACACACGTGGCCATGATCTCTGCAGGGAAATGAAGCTGCAAGGGAAGCCTTATCTCTGGGCTGAGCACAGCTCCAAAAATATGACAGCAGTCATGAGACCCGCGACCCCAGTCACCTGATGTAAGGTCACAGCTCTGGTGACATTTGGATTACAGCATCATCTGTCACAGCTTTGAGTCAGCAAAGAAGTGCAGCCAATGGTTTACATTTCCCTGCCAGTAAAATAATGCAGGAAAAGTGTTTTGCTGGCAAGACACTCTCCCGGCCCCCCTGAGCCTGTGGGGCAGGGAGGGAGGGAGGGAGCTGAGGTCTCTGAACACATGGGAAGGACACCTCTACTCACCCCAGGCACCTCGAGTCCTGGGTACCAGCACTGGGGTGGCACAGGAGCTCAGACACAGGAGCCAAAACACTGCATTCCCTCCCACTCACTTCCCAGGGCAGATCAGCCCTGTCCTGTGCTGCTCAGAAGTAACCTGTGATAAGTAAAGGAGCGTGAAAAGCCAGCTAAACCAGTATGCCCAGCTGGCAGTATCGGGGACCTCAACCCTGGTGGAATGGCTGGGGGAAACTGGGGCTCCATCTCCTTCACACCAGGAGTCCTGCCCTTTCCAGCACCAGTGCTTCAGGCAAAGGGAAAACTCTGGCCACCTTTGCTCCACAGCAGATTAGAGATCTTAGGAAGGACTTTCTCCTGCAGTGGGAGGTTTTGCTGGGGAACAGGTATGAGCTGTGGGATAACACAGTGCCAGCCCCACACCCAGTGGGTTCGTGGAGGGATGGGATCGGCCTCATTCCCTCCATTAGCAGAGGGAGAGCTCCATAGAGCTTTATTGCTGCCAGGGCACTCAAAGGAAAAATTATGGTTAAGTGGGATGAACAGCTGAGAGGCAACCTGGTTCAGCATGGGGGGAAGAGATGTTTGTATATAAATAAACACAATTAGGTATGTGTATGAGCATTTTTCAATTTAAATAAAAATACATGTTTACGTGGTTTAACAATCTCAAATTAAAACAAATAAAATGATGCAAGGATTTCTTAATGTCCTGAAACCTTCCTGTTACCCTCAGCTGCCCAAATATTTGATCCAGAAGAAATGCTGTTCTGGGAGGGAGAGTCAGAGTAGGCCAAAGGACAGGCACAGATGGATCTTGGAGCATTTTTGGATCATCTCCCAATCACAGCCAATACAAAAGAAGCACATTTACAGACCTTCCTGCAATCACTTGGGTGACCTGTGGTTTCTTATTTTATCACATTCATCCCTCACTTTTCTTCCTAGGACTTCTATCTGCAGGTATTTCCCACTCTAAACCAAATTTTTCCCTAACCACTGTCTTCTGCCATGATGTTTTTCCCTCACTTTCCTTCTGTTTCCCCCAGATAGCTTCATCTTTTTCAGCTGCAATGCCTCTTCTCTCTCTATTTCCCCTGGACCAGCTAGGAGGACAAGAGTTCTGAACCCCCTCCTTGTCCCAGATGCAAGAGGATAATTTTGGGCCATGAGCAGCTCAGGGAGCACTTCCAGGTGAGCTGTACCTTTGCAGGAAGGCTGTTCCTCGCAAGCTGGACCTCAGCTCAGCTGTCTGCCTCTCTGCTTTATGACGAGCAGTGTGTCTAAATTCTCCCATATATTAAGTGCTTAGAGCCTGATCCAGGGTTTCTTCTAAAATAAGGACCCAGCTGCTTCTTTCTGATCCAGCTCCTCTGAAGCTTAGGAGGGCTTAGGTTGAGACTCCAATGAAACCAAGCCCAGAGACATCCAGAATGTGCGAGTTAGCAAGCGGAGAAGACAAGAACAGAATTTAAATTATCAGGGCTTTATCTTGCACTGTTGTGAATCCTGCAGTTCTGCTGTGATTACATCAGCAGCACGGGGTGTGGATCACTCATGACTTCAGCACAGCCCTTCAAAGCACCCCAGCCCACAGCTTGGCTGGTGACCTTCCTCCAAGGCAGCTGGGATGTGGCTGGGGGCTAAGGAATGGGTGTGTTTACAACTTGCTCTTTGCCACTTGGCCCCCAGGACCAAAAAAAACCCATCTCAAATGCATGTTCCCAGCTTGGACAGGATGATTGTGAAGCTGTGTCTAACAAAAGCATGAACAAAAGGAACTGAAGAATATTTCTGCAGCTCCTTTTCTTCATGCTTTTGTTAGACACAGCTTCATGTTTCCCAAGGCGAGGAGATGCAAGCTGTCAGCACTCCTAGAAAAGAAAATGTCTTTGCAGGAGGAACTACTCCATCAACTCAGTCTGGACCCAAAATCCCAAGAGGAAAAGTCCAAAACCTCTACCCTGGACCCATAGGCTGTTTCCACACCAGCATATACTAACTAACTCACACTGCAGAGGGGGTCAGGGATATTCCCAAATTATCACCTCTGTAGTCATATTGTACCACAACAGTTTTGGCCAAGCCAACCCCCCCTATCCCAAACCATTCCCAGCACTTCTTCTAGCTCTGTGATGGGAAAGGGGTGTCTGAGTAGAGGGGGTGTTTTGCATAGAGAAGAGATCCCTGGTGCTTTTGGTGCAGGCACCTAAAGAGAAAGGCAGACTGGAACTGCCACAGAGTTCTTTTAATGTGCTTTGGAAATAGTCATCTGCAAGTGCCAAGGTGGAGCAGAAGCAAAGTGAGAACAGAGGCATTTTCCTCTCTGGCTCAATTGAACCTCTGCATTTGGTCCCACAAGTGCACCAGCGCCCAGCTGAGCTGCCATGGAGGAGCCAGCAGAGAGGAAAACCAAGCAAGTCTCTTCCCCAGTGTCCCTGTACAAAGCAGAGCTGCCACTGTGGATGCACATAAATAATAGTAAACCAGCATGGGAAAAATATCCACGGTTGCCAGGCAAATTAATGTTCCAGCATAAACAGCAAATATAAATTAGGCTCATAACAGCCTTTGTGGGGGCATTGGATGCTTCAGAGCTAAGCACTAGGCAAGGCAGCAATGCTTGTTGTTAGAAAAACCGGGCTGGGAAGGAGGGCTGCTGGCATGGGAGGAGTTTGGCAGTTCATGGCTCCCATTAAATCTTTCCCACACGTGTTTTGGGTGGAGCTGTAGCTAACTGGGCTTCTCTGTACCTTTTTTCAAGCGTGTAATAAGGTAATGGCTTGTAATTCCTCATGCACAGCTTTCCACGTCTTCCAGGTCAGCCCGGCACTCCCATTTTGCTCTGCTGGAGCAGACTCTGCCTGTGTCCCCAGGGGTGTTTTGAAGCCAGGATGGTCCCATGAGGAGATGGCTAAAAAGCACCAGAAATAGCGGGGCTGATGAAAAGGCAGCTCTGTGCCGGGAAGGCTGCAGCCGGACCTCGGGAAGGGAGGGAAAGCCGCGTTACAATCCTGGCATTGACGGCCCCTCCTGCTGAGTGCGCCTTTCATCGCTGGCTGCTGCGGGGGAGACAGGGAAGGGTTACCGAGCCATTCCTCATCCCGGTCCCACCGAGCCATTCCTCATCCCGGTCCCACCGCCTCCTGCCGCGTTGGTCTCCTACCCCTCTCAGGTGGGGAGGAGAAGACAATTCTGCTTTTTTTCCCCCTTAAAAATACACACTTGTTGGACCCAGCAGCATGCTAGGACTTCAGTGGAATATTTTCAGTAGCTGTGAGTTGTCCTGTGGTTAAATAACAAACATAGCAGTAAAACACCAGTGCATTTTCCTAGTGCAGGAGACAGAGTATCTATTGTCATCAGTCCTTAAGAAACGCTATTTTTATTTGTGGTCCCTGACCTCCTTTTTTGTATCCAATTGTTCCCCAAATGCTTTATTGGGAGCAGATGCCAAATATGTGCCATTAATTCTTTCCATATATTGTTCTTTTGATATTCTGCACTTGCTGTCAATGAAATGAGAAGTGGAAATTAGATAGCCAGTGCTATTCAGTTAAAGAGATTTAATTTCCTAATCCTCTGAAGAAGGCTATAAACAGGCAGTTGGACTCTTATGAGCAGCACTTGGACTGAACCTGTAAAAGTTGATCTTTCATAATTAATTCTGCGCCTAAGTGTTAACTGGCAAAATGTGAGGAAAAAATTGAACACCAAGAGGAATTTAAGTTTTTAAATGCTGTGATGATTAAAACTCTATATTGCCTCTCTAAGCTGTACAATCATAGAATATCCTGTGTTGGAAGGAACCCACAAGGATCTCAGAGTCCAATGCTTCATTCCAATAATTCTAACAGGAATTGTTCCTGTTAAATACAAATTTTTTTTTTTTTTCAAGACTGAGCTGTAAATTCAGGCTTTAATGAGACCCACTAAGAGATTCACCATTTTCATGGGAAATAATGGAGCTAAGCATGTCTGGACTTTCAAGTACCCACAGAAAACTGCGAGGGACACTAACCAAAATCTGCTCCACAGGGGCTCACATCCAGCTGGTATTAAAGAACTGTGTGCTGCTACCAAGGGGCAGCAATTCCTGATGAAGTAAATAAATCCATCTGTAGTGTCCTGGGTCCCAGTTCAGTGACAGCACATGTGTTTGACTATGCAGAGACAGAATTTGGCCTTTCACTACCACCACATGGAAAACGACTTTGGTGTGATAAATGTGTTGATGCCAAATCCAGACAGAGGGTGACTTGTGCTTAATTTTCCCGGTATAACTCAGCAAACTTCTATCCACGAGGCTCCACATGACTTTTTTCATTAAGCTGTACAGCATGTACCAAGCCCCCTGTCTTTAAGGTGACATTTCAAACCCCTGTGGAGGAGGGACAGTTGTCAGGGCTGTGATTAAAATAGATCCTTGTTTGTTGGCGTGACTTTTCCTCAGCTCCTGGGAGATGTGGCAGTGAGCCCTGCCACCTCTCCCAAAATGAGAGATGACCCAGATGGAGGCACATATAACACCCTGCTGGAGGCTCTCTTCCAACCTGCCCTTGTTTGCACTCACTGTTTGGGCTGGCAATCCCCTGCAACCACCTTTCCACCTTTTCATTCCACAGGCTGCAGGCAGGAGTCTCCCATGGGTTGGCACAGCCCTTCCACCCTCCGGGGGCAAATCTGGTACCACCCAAGGCCAAGTGCAGCGGTTTTGTGGGAGCACCAAGAGCAATAATTTGAGGTCCTAAGGGTGCATTTTTTCGTGCTTACGCAGTTCAACATCTTTTGGGGGACTGCAAGGATTTGTAAGGACCCTCAGAGGGTGACATCCCACCGCGTGTCCATTACTCGGCACAGCCCTGGTGGTGAACTCAGCTATAAATAGAGCTGAGCCTCTGAGGCTGAGCTCCCTTAAGCAGCTCTAATGCAACACCTGCTAATCACTGGCCCCGGGGCGAGACAGGCATGTGGAGCTGCCCTGGCAGAGTGGGTTCTCAGAGGTAACGCTGGAAGACAAACCATTTTCCAATGTCACATTTTCAAACGGAACCAACAGGATGAGGCAGAGCAGCTGTGGCATTTGTCATGTGGGACACTTGGGACCTTGAAGATGCTGGCAGAGGCAAGGCAGAGAGGACAGGAGTTTTGCAGGGGAAAATGAGACAAAATGATTTAGTGACTTACCATCTTGAAAAAGCTCTGTAAGAAACTCCAGTTATTTGCTAAATTAGAGATGGAAAAACAACATAGATTCCCTAAAGGCAACAATCCAGGATGTGTCCCACACTGTAGATTGGGTCGTTCCCGGGCAGTAAATTTAAAAGGCAGACTTCATTGCCACTCTTCTCCATGGATGCTTTTTCACCAAATCTCACTCTGACTTGTGTAGGCTACTGACAGAGATGTGACATTTACCATTGTCCAGACCTCATTGCCTGAAATTGTCCAAGTGTCTCAAATCTCCTCTTTTTTATCTCATCGTGTATCCCTGTTGGGTCAACAGCTTCCTTGGAGAAGAAGCTATAAAAATACCATCTCCTTTCTAAGGTTATGTCTTCCACCTGTCATCTACTCCTTCTCTAAATCCTTGGAAGTCAGGACCAGTATTTTTGGCTGTCGTGGCAGCAGACAAGACCCGTGACACCATCACACGTCTCATCTGAAGGTGAGAGCTGACGAGGGCTGGGCAAATGCCAGTGATGGAACCAAGGCTGGCTTGGCCCCAGCTGATCTGCCTCTCCCAGATGGCCATGGATGACCACGTCTGCCCATCACCTGGCAGCCCTGCCGAGTGGAAGACCAGGTGAAATAAACACAACTCAGCTTAAATATTGCTTTATAAATTCATTTGGTGGTTAGGAAAAGTGGGGTTTTTTGCTCTTTGTAACCAGGGAAATTCCTGTTTTTTCTTCAAATCCTGCTCGTTATCAAGGGGGACAACTGCAGAGAAAGCAGAACTGACTTTTATTAATGTTTTTTCTAGGAACAACAGCTCCCAGGTGAACTGAGTTTCTCTTATCAAAGGGACTTTGAGTAGTTTAGGGTTTTGTCCTCAGTGCCACCGGGGCAGTGTGTGTTCACTGTGAACGGAGGATGCGGTCCCCAGCTCCGGCGTCTGCCAGAGGGCTGGAAAACTCCTGGTGATTAAATATTAACAGTTATTGCAGTGCCTCCACTTTGTTCTAGATCTAACACATGCTCTTGCTCCCAGGAATGTGGTGGTTATGGTGAGCTGAGCAATGTGGGAGCTCAGTTATTATGCACAGTACTGGCCGTGAATGAAGCCTTCAGCAGAGCTGAATCCATCCTGCCATTTTGGGAAGGGTGAATAGCTACGTAAATAACATAACAACATCTAATCTACCCTTCCAGCTCTGATTCAACCTTGAGATTGATTTGTAAGGTCTTCTTAATTACAGTTCTTCTCTGTCTGCTCTACAATTGCTTGGGAAAAGTTGTTTGACTAAAACTCTGCAGGGAGCAGAGACCCAAACCATTCCTTTCTCCCATGCTGGCATGATTTATCTTAAAGCTCTTACAAAGTGCTTCATTGGAGTATCACTTCCAGTTTTATATGTAGCAAATAAAATCTGCATTCATCTGTTAAATGATCACTTCTTAAATGATACTAATTTGGAATCAAATAATAAAAAACGGGAGGAAACCACACAAGAAAAAGGGCTGGTAGATACTAGACGCAAACATAGTTAAGGCCTTTCTGTCTTATGATCTTCTTCCCATTCCTCTGCTTGGATGAAAATTAAGACCACTTCAAGTGCTCCAATGCAGAAGCAATTATACAGCCATAAAGAGAGAGGATGTTAAAATAGTTATTGAGGGAGAACAAACAGACTGGGACTGCAGAAATTCTTCTCACAACCCCATCTCATCTTCCATGACATGACAAGAGAGAGGTGGGAATGGTGTGGATTAATAATTTGCTTTTTCCTTCTTCCCCTCATGTAAATGTGATAAATCCCTGAAAAACCTGTTCCTGTGTATAAAATATAATACAAATATGTTCACCCAGGGAGTCTGGAAGGGAAACAGTGGTTTGGCCAAGCAATTTGTCTTTATAATATTGATTCGGTCAAAGCGGCATAAATGGAAGAGAAGCCTTTAAGTCTGAGTACCAAAGTGCAGCCTCCATTTGATGTAATGAGCACATGTTTTCTGGAACTGTGGTACCCTGGGAGCTGCCTCCTTCCCAGTCTTCTGGCAGCTCCGCTCATGGGCTTGGATGAACCTGACTAAAGGATGGCGGCCTGAAAGTTATCTCAGCCTTTTGCTTCTGTGTACCCAGTGCACCACAGCAGGATATGAGTCAGGAGAAAAGGTGAAGCATGTCCTGATTAGTTAGGTGCTCAGAAGCACCTAACTTAGGTGCTGCTGATCTGCCTTAGAAAAGCAAGGGTAGAATATCACATGGGAACAGCATGGATGGCTTGATGCTAATTTCTCCAGCTCGGACTCTTTCCTCTTCTTGAATTGTTCTTTTTGCTGCAGATGGGTGTTTGGCTGGATTTCCAAGCAAGCCACAGCCCCAGGGTTGCTGCAGGACACGCCAGGCATTCACACCTTGGAGAAGGAGCCAGCTGGCACCCGCTCACCTCCAGCGCCTGCACACCTGGGTGGAACTGGGCATAAGGTACGGCTGGCTGGCTGCTGAAACTGTGCCCAGAAATAGAAGAAATTCCTGTCCTCTGCCCTCCAGACTCTCACCTTGAGCTGTGCTGGATGCCTGCTAGGTCCAGAGGAGGATCCTGCTACAGAAAGGGGTGAGTGGGAATGTGGGCAAGAGCCTTCTCCAGCACAGAGATCCTTACAGATCCCACATGATCCTTACAAAGCACATAGCTTTGTAAAATTGCTGGCTTGGTGGGGACGAGAGGAACATTGTCTTTCATGGAATTTTGGAAAAATTTCATTTCTCTGCCCCGGATCTGTACCCAGGGACATTTCCACCTGCGGGCTCTCCTGCTGTCTCTGCCTCAGTCTTGCTTTTTAACCTGCAGGATTTCCTCCTCAGCCTTCCTGGTAACTTCTGTTGTTGGCTTTTGCCCAGGCTTCTCCCTGGGAGTGTCGATTGGAGTCGTCCGAGCAGCACTTTTCCCTCTGTCTCTGCTCTCATGCTGTGACTCCAGTGAGGCAAGAGAGCACAGCCCACCCCCAGCCATGCCGGCTGCCATCTGCACTCTGCTTCTCTCCTGCCCGATCTCGTTTGCCTTGCCAACGCCAAAGCAAACACAGCCGAGGCACCGCGCGACACGGACACGGACACGGACACTTCCCCTGCCACGTGCTCCCACAGCTGTGTCCCTGTGGCCTTTGCTGGGGCTTGGTGACTGCCAGCCTCCCTCAGAGACACGCTGGGTGTGACACTGCTGCTGCAAGTCTCACACCTGCCTGAGCAGCGGGCTGCTCCTGAGAGGGACATCATCCAGCTGACATCTCCACATCCTGACCTCTCGTCTGTCCTACTTCCACCTCCCACCAGCACCTTCTGTCCTGTCTCATCATCTGCTTTCTCCTTACCACAGGGCTAACTCATCCTCCTCCTCCATTCTCCTGAATTCTCTCTATTTCTGCCCATATTGCCCTTTTCCCAGATTCAGTAGCTTTTGGGATTATCCCTCAGACCAGCCTGGCTCTCTTTCCAGCCTGGTTCCTCTCATTTCCACTTAATCAGCTCCTCCTAAGTTGAAGAGATATCCTCATCCACCTGGCCAGGTTGTCTTTCTAACACTGTCACACATCTCTTTTTTCCGTCACCTCTCTTTGGGGTTCTGCCAAAGTTTTTGTGCACTTCAGTCACCAGTATCTTTGAATACATCTACTTGTTTTCTCCCATCTCTTGAAATCCACACTGTTAATTGCTGTTTCTGACTAACTTTCTTCACTTTGCTTTCAAAAGGTTTCTTAACTTGTGCTAGAGCCAAAAATGTGCCTTCTGTAGAGGCAAAATCAAGGGAATTCATAAGCTCACACACACAAGATCATTCTCAATACATTCTAAAATGGGGAACAAAAGAACAGACCTTTTATCTGGAGTAAATGGAAGATGATGGATGCAAAAAGACACGATGCAAAAAGAAAGGGAAGAGTGCTACAACTGAAAATGAGGGATGTCATTACAGATAAGTTGTTTGGAGAGTACAGTGTTACCTACTGGAAAGGCAAAAAGTATATTAAGACAAAGCTCATGAACTAACCAGGGGAAGATAAAAACTTGTCCTAATGAAAAATACCAGGTGCTACCAATAGCATATAATGGACTGAAAAATACAGTGAAAATATGTGAAAAGCAGTATTGATTTTGTGTCTGGCCCTGCTTTTATCAAGGTCCATAACCAAACCTAGTCAAAATCAATAGCAAAAGTGGCTGGGAAACCACAGGGCAGCTTTGATCTGGTTGCATCTCTGTGGCTTTGATTTTCAGGTTGAAGTCACTCAAACTGCATTTCTTGACCTTTTTCAGTCTGACATTCTTAAAAAAAATATGTTGAGGAGTCCCTTTGTGCCATGACACCCCAATGTTTGCCTTGCCAGTGAAATAAAATTTTAAAAAAAGCCAAGATAAACATTGAGTAATCTTTTACTACTTTTTTACTACTCTTTTTTGTTCCGTTGTTTGCCTGAGGATATACGTGGTTTGGCTTTTTTGTACTCACTTCCCTGATCTTTCCCTCCTGCTTCCCAGCAGGGCTGCCAGAATGCCAGGCAGAGGAGCACCACGTAGGAGCTACGTGAAAGAGATGACAGATTATTTGCTCAGGTATCACTCCCTTGGCCAAGAGACATTTTACACCCAGGTAGGTGTGGGCTTCATCACCTGCCCTGTGAGCACACCAGGAACCAGGTGACTCATGACATGAAGGAAATGTTTGCAGTAAGAGTCAGGAACGTGGCAGCCCTTCTCTCATGGACGAAGCGTTTGGGGATTTCATGACTGGTACTTTTCATAGTAAGGAAAACTTTGCAGGCAATATTTCCCACAGGTTTTTTTCCCCTGTAGAATTCAAGCATGGTTATCTGTGTTGATGAACATGTCAATGAAGCACAAAACTGGGGTGCTTCAAAAGGGACAAGTGTCACCTCCCTGAGGTTTCGCAGTGCCACTTGTAGCCTGGGATTTGGAAGAGGAGCTGCAGTTACCCCTTGGCTGTGGGATACCTCCCCACAGCTGATATGGGACAGCAGTAAACTTGCGTGCCCCCTTCAGCTCCCTGTATTCCCTGTCAGCAATTTCCATGCCAGGAGCCAAGATAATCCCACTTATCCTGTGGCCAAGGTCATTACCCAGGTTACAAGACCAGGTTGAAGGACCATGGACTTTGAGCAGAGGTTACTCTGGGCCCTATCTCAATGCAGGCAGCTTGTAGGTTTGGAAAGACCCTCTAACAGGTATTTTTTTAATCTGTTTGACAGACCTTTCTTCTGTTGACTTCTCTAGTCTGAAAGGGAAAACAACCAGTGCTGAAGAGCCCCATCATCAGTCAAACCCTGTGTTATATTTTAGCATGAAAGCCTCATTCAGTTAATAGCAGGAAGGGTGGGAGGCCCCATAGTCAAGTGCAAATGTAGAAACTCTGAGACACCTTCTTTTCCCCACCACCCACCAAAAAGAAATGAAATCTCTGGGGTTTTATTCCATCATCAAATGTTTCTCTGTGCACCAAAATGAAGCATATAATTTCTGTGCTTGGGTGAAAAGTGAAAAAAAGGAAAAGGCTGGTTTCACATCAAGGTGGTGCTTTTGGTTGTGTCTACCAAAGAGCTGGTAACTTCACAAAGGGCTCTTGCTTCTGCTGTCCTCTCTGCTTGAGGGGATTTGAGCTGCTCAGAAAAAGACACAAATTCTGCACATTTTGGGACACAAAAGGAGTTCTTCCTATTCTCACCTTGTAGAAATAACCATATAGCAGCAAGTGCCATTTGCTGTCATCTCCATAAGGAGTTAGTTAGCCTTAATTAGCCCTTTTGGACTCCAGATGAAAAGACCAGGAACTAGGATGGACACTTTCTGTGCCAAAAATGATCATTTTTGGGGAAGTTACTGTTTGGCCAAGAAGCACCATTTCTCTAGGTCACTTCTGTACCTCTGTCTGGCAGGCACACTGAGAGCAGCAGAGCAGTGTAACCAGAGAAGGACAAGGAAAATGGAACATCTGCTTTCCTGTACTGCACCTACTGCAGCTAGTGGTCCTAGAGAGACTGGGAAAGTTTGGATCGTTTTCTCCCTAAATGGAAGGGCTGTTTCTAGCAAAAGCCAAAAATAGACATTCACCACTTAAAAAAAAAAAAAAGTCAGAACTTCATGCCCAGCACTGCAGAGTTGAGTCTTCTCCCATGGCTCTCCTCCTAGTCCTCCCAAGGCCGTGCAGCTGCCCTGTGGTGACACCTCGTGGCTCAAGTGACACCTTTGGTTTGACTTAAGAGATCACCTCTTCATAGCACCACGACCCGTGCAAAGTATTTTAGCTGTCACTGTGACAGCCGGGAGGAGACATATGGAGTCAGATTTGAAGGTAGGAAGTACAGGGGACAAGTCTAGACCAATTTTCTAACGATTTCTTTGGCATCTCGTGAATTATAAGCGGCTGTTTCACCCCCACCCTCTCAGATGCTCTTGACCAGCAGTGCTTGGCTGCTGCTGCCTTCTCCTGCTGCCCGGTGCAGGTGAGTCCATGAACAGCAACCCAGCCCCACAGAGGGCAGGGAATGGAGGCACTGGGGAGGTGCTGCCAGGAGTTCACTCATAGGGATGTGGTTTGGGATGGCTGAGATCAAACGTTTCACCAGATTTCACTGTTACCAGCCTGGACACTAACAAGAAACTTAATTTACCCCATGTCTAGTTTCACAGTGATGCAGCCAGACAGGAGTATAACATACAAGGAGTTTGTATTAATGATTTCTCTGTTTGTGCAACATGCAGAGAAATGCCTGGCACCTGCCAAGAAAAGCCAACCTCTCCTGTGGCTTTGCAGAGAGAAATGGGAATGCCTGGTAACCATGTCTGACTCCTCTCTCCTCCAGGTATTTCCATTCAGTGGTATCAACAAGCCCTGAACACACAGGGGTGGCCTCTGGCTCATCTCCTTCACCTCTCCTCAGGAAGGCAGAGGTCTTGGTTCTCAGAAGAGGCAGATGTTTATCATGCTCTGCTCTGCACCAGCACCAGACCACATCAAAGAGAAGTTACCAACAGCGTTTGGTTTTCTCATGATGGTGTTTCGTAATGAGGAGGATTTATGCTTTTCTCTTGAAAGCCCACAAAAGTAGCACAGCCATCTTCACCTGGATTTAGCTTCTCCAGGTAGGAGAAGTTAATGGGTCAGGATTACTTGTGTTGTGGTCTGCTGATGAAGAGATGCCTGCATTGCCTGCTCCACTTGACTCTCAGGCCAGTGTCACCTGGTGCACGGCCATCCCACCTGGCCATGCCACCTTTCCAAAGCACTTACAAAGGAAACTGACCACACCCAGAACAGCATCCTCCAGCCAGGGCTTTCAACTTTTGCAAATGTCTGCTACAAGAAGCTGAGGGGCAAAGACAGGTCATCTGGCTGCTGTGGGCTCCTGCAGAGCCAACAGCAGAACTTGCTTCCTGAATTTGTAACTTGATCTCAAGCACCTTTTTTACTGGGGTTTGCAGCTGTTTTTACTGGGGAATGGAAGAGAGGGGCATCTTTCAAGCAATGGTAGTGCCAAGTGCATCCAAAGGTTATTCTCCTTGTCCTGGAGAAGCCACCTTTGATATGGACATCCCAATGGCATGGAGACAGAGGTCCACACTGGTCAGAATGTATTTCATCAAAACCTTCCCTCTCCTGTCCAAGAGTTTCCTGAGCCCCCAGCCCCTTGCAGAATGGGATTTCTCTTTGCTTTCTCATTGACAGGTGTTTATTCTCCAGGCTTACAGGTTGAGGAGAAAAGTTTCCCCAGTCTGACTCCCTCTGTACTAGCTCCATCTGGAGGCTCCAATAAAACTTGCACTGTAAACCCACTTTTATTTGTATTTATTTATTTTATAATTTATTTAGGATTTAAGGTGGTCTTGGCATTGATGATTATGGCCTTTTTCTTGAAAAAAGAAAGCATCTGTGCCATTTAGTTTTTAGTTATAAATTAATTAAAGATTCTGTAAAATCAAAACAATGGGCTTGTTTCTGGCTAAGCTGGAGACTGCATCTCTATCTGTTCACTCCTCTATTTACCTGCAGTTAGAGTTTTATTTTAAGCAGCTGACTGCTCAGCCTCTGCTCTAATTCAGCAGCATTTATCATGCTGCTATGCAACGCTGACACTTAAAGAGCTGTTGGAATGGGGTTTTAAAAAAAAATGTGGTACTTAAAATATCTGCTGTTTAAGCTACAAATAGTTACATTTATGTAACTTCCTCTTTTATTACTACTGAGGTATAGCTATCCTCTAGGATTTGCTACTTGGAATTCAAAATGTGTCTACAGATGTAAAAAAGACCCTAAACTACAGGAAATGGGGGTTGTGGGGGGAGGGGAGGAATAAAAAAAGGAAGTAATTCTAATAAGCTCATTCAGAACATCTTTCCTCTGGTTTGCAAATCCAGTGCTCTGAAAGCACTTGCCAGAGAAGTTCTCCTGCCTTCCCCTGAGGAAAGTGAGATTCAAACCTACTGATTGGATATGATGTGATGCCTTATAACTGAGCCCAGGGGTGAAGCTCCGTGGTGACCACGGGTATCACGTTGATTTAGATTCATTTGTTAGATCTGGGGTTTCCAACTTCACCTGAGTTACTGTAAGAAATAACAGGAACAGCTGTACTGGGAGAAGAATAATGATGTGAGACAAACTTGGAATCAGTTTTTTGTTCATTTGGGGAAAAGCTTTATTTCTTCTCTCTGCCAAAAGAATTCTTGCTGGGAATGGAAAGCTGTCAAGAAAGCTCAGAGATCAGGTTAGCAGCCTGCCTTGTGCAGTTTCAGGAGCACGAAGGCAGGATTTGGGATGCAGGCATTTGGTGTGCCACAACAAGGCATGCCAGCCAGGCTGAACAATTTCCAGCCTTCCCTGGGAGCCTTTCTGCAGACACACAGACTCAGACAGCAGCTCTAATGTTCTCAGCTGCTCCATCTAGAAACCTTCCAGGAGTGGATCTGACAATAATTTCCCCTAGGATTTGTTTGTCAAAGAATGCTTGTATGTACTCACTCAGGAGTTGCTGCTTGAAGTCCTAGTTTTTGTTCTCTTGGAGAAGTAATCAGAAGGTAAAGAATGGATGCGAAATCCTTTCCTGCACAGAAAGTCTTTATATCCTGGAAATACCTCATCAGTAACTGGAGAGTAACTTTCAATACAAAGAATATCCACGTGGTAGTTTGTAAGTAACAGGCTAGCAAAGCATTTGGACAATGAGCAGGTGAGAGATTTCCTGTTCAACTGGTTCATGGAAGTGTGGAGGGGAACACAAATAGTGTTAAAACTCAGCATGCGGAGGTAAATGTCAGTGCAACTGTTAACTTGAGTTCAGTGTATCAGGAGACAGAGATACTCTATCAAGTGCAGAGTTTAACCATGGAAGTGTTCTGATACATTGTTAGAAGCATTACTTTACAAGAAATTCATTGTCCCCTGCAGAAGACTGTTTTAAAACAGACATCAAAAAGCACTGAAGAGGCAGATCTTCCAGATTTTCTTTCCTAAAGCTAATTGCCTACATGGTGATGCTACTGTAGGTATGGCACAAAGGACACTAGCAGCATTTATCATCTCTTATTTATATATATATTTATATAAATGTAA